TATCATTATGTTGTTTCAAAGAAAAATGGAATATATATATTCCATTTGATAAACAAGTTCTCCAAGAAGATTTTTTTATCAAATACTTCAACAAGACACACACATTTGTAGATTAGAGATTAAATACAAACTCTTCTAATTTACTAACCTACAAACTAATCCTAGCCCTTTATTTTAGGTGATCATCCGTGTCTTCTAATCTTAATTAGACTGGACAATTGAGGGCTTATTAGTCTTTTAGGTTTATTTTATATTTGGAAACTGAATCACGTTTACTCATATATATATATATATATATATATATATATATATATATATATAACCAATTTGATTCGTTTATTTCCTTTCATGCATGTTCGACCAAGCTTCTCTCCAGGATCAATGCTTCATCGTCTCCATCTCAATCTACCTTTCCGTCTATGTTTCCATCTCCATCTCTGGTTGCGTCTCCATCTCCATCTCCTTCCCCATCTCCCTTTCCATCTTATTTTGTTCTCCATCTCTATCTCAAATTTAACAGAATGTGGTTGATTTTCTTCTTTCAAAGTCATGGATTCTGGCATGCATAGGGAGAACATTAGTTCTCAAAGGCCATGGATTCCGATGTCGCCTTGGAATTCGTGTACACGTCGTTTTTGTTTTAAATTTTTTTGCTTTGGTTTTCGTTTCCATAGCAATTCAACAATTTGAAAATCCATGGATTCCGACAAAGTTCTTGAATTTCCTATGTATTCTGGTGTGGAAAAGCCATCCAGATATCTCTTGAAAAGATATTTTTTGACTTATTTAATTTTCCGTCGTTTTCATATCAATTTAACAATTTTGTGTTTGCAGACTTCTTGATTTTAGTATGAATTCTTTTTTTACCATTTAGACCATGGTACTAATATATTATGCATTATGTGATATCTTGAATTATGTATGCATCATGCATGTCATTTGAATATGGAATGCATATATCATAATGATAAGATGCATGATATGAACTATTAAAATGCATATGTCATCTAACTAAAATGCACTGCATGTATTTCTAAAATGCACACACCATCATTAAAGTGCACTTATAATCTCACTAAAGTGCAATATACAAACTTCTAAGATTCACATGTCATATTGATAAAATAAAACATATGAACTGCTAAAACGCAGATGCCATAATGATAAGATGTAGTATGAACTATTAAAGTGCACATATCATCTTACTAAATTTCAATACACGAACTTCTAAAATGCACAAGTCGTAAAAATAAAATGCAAATTCATATAATGTGACACATTTCTCTTATATATATTATGTACTTCTACTAATATACCATTTAAAACATGTTTCTCTAATACTATGCATAATGTGACACAATGAAATTCATATGCATGTCAATTGAGTATACAATGCAAATGTCATAACGATAAGGTGCGGCAAGTTATCTTCTGCGATGCACATGGAATCGTACCACTAAAATGCAATACATGAACTTGTAAAATGCACGTGTCATAATGATAAAATGCGTGCAACATATAAATTATTAAAATGCAGATGCCATAACAGAAAGATGCAGTATGAACTTCCGAAGTGCATATATCATCAAACTAAAATGTAATATATGAATTCCTAAAATGCACATGTTATAGTGATAAGATGCAACATATGAAACACTAAAATGCAATGTCGATATATTTTATCACTATGTAGTTCTAATATAAGTTATGGAGACATTATAAATATGAAATGCACATCCCGCCACCTCAATATGCACATCCCGTAACCTTAATATGTACATCTCGTAACCTTAATATGCGCATCTCATAACCTTAATATGCAAAAACTTCTATCAGTGTTTACTTCTTCATTTCGAGAGCTCTCAAACTTACCATCTATAAGTTTCGAAATTTTCAAGGTTAAATATGGAGCGTCTGAATCCGTAAATCAAGAGATTAATTTTATAAATTCTATCATGTGTACTTGTAGTGAAGCCATTATTTGAATTGATAATGCAGCCTTCTTTGTTGGAAAAAATCTCACCTTAATATGTATATAGATATTCAACTTTCTCCTCCAATTGTTACTAATCACACGAACCTTTTTTAATTTACTAAAAATGGAGGTGTAAATATTAGTATGGGTTACCTTAATTGATTGGATGTTAGTGGTGGGTTACATTAATTAGTGGTAGAGTATTAGCGGTGATTTATTTACGTATTCTTTCCATATCAATGTGGCCGTTCCGTTTTTAAAATGTCAAATGACATCGGTAACCTTCCCCACTAACCACTGCAATTTAATAGCCCATACAATTTACATTCTCTGCATCTGAACACACGCTCCATTATTGTGGATAGCTTTTATCCGCTCTTGATTTTGTAGATTTGGACGAGTGTGATGAGTTTGTAGTTTGCACCGGAAGGGGAGTTTGTATGTCAGTATGTGATCTACCCCTATACCCTATATATATGTATATATCTATGCTACTGCATAAGTAAGCATATTCATCCATTGCAAATTAAGAATATAAGTAAGCGTTCTATAAATGAGGCATGGATTATATACATATACACAAATAAAATGGTTCCTTCATTATCCCAACAAATTATAGTATACTCGTTGTCAGGGACGGATCCAGGATTTCGAGTCAAGGGGGGCGAAATTTTTTCATTAGTGTAGGGAGTGAAAAAATTTCGCTAGTAAGCGGAACGGGAAAAAATCGCTAGTGTAGCGGGGCGAATTTTTTCGCTAGTGTAGGGCTCTGTGGCTAATTTTTATTTAAAAAGTTCCATTATTACATACTACATACACGATGACAATTAAATCTATTATATTCTAATTCTAATTATAGACAATGAAAATATAACTTTGATTTAATAAGTGCTCGAGAAAAAAATATTGATACATTAAAGCTTAAGAAATGACAAATTAAAGGGAAATTATTTGAAAATAAGAAAGGATATGATATACGTAGTATAACATTTTATGATATTATTTGAAGGTAAAGTGGTTAAAGTTAAAGGTACACATCAACCAATATTTCTTAAGTAACTTATGCCTTGTTTAATCACATGATTCTTAACAGGATAAAGAATTGATTTTTGAATTGAGATTTTTGTCTACCAAGAAGGGTATTTGTGGGTCATGATGAGTTTTCTTAATATTACAATAGTATGCATGAGATTACTATACTTAGAATAATATGATACGTAGTAATGTTAATTCATATATATCTGGTGCATATTATATTTGCATTAATTCTAAAATAAGTTAAAGTATTATCTATTCAACAAATTGTTTTTAGAAAGTAAGAGGTAAATGAAATGTGTAATTTAATGTCAACAAACATTTATACTATTTAACTACTGTATCTGATATTCAATATGTTTTGATATCTTACAAAATCGAGTACTAATTATCTAATAAAAATAATTAAACATTACAAAACTAAGAATTTTTTGGTACCCTAAGTCTTAAACAACGAGTTCTATTGTTTATTTTTTTAAGTTATGTAAATTATTTTAGATTCTACTTCTTTTAAATCTCCAATTAAGCATTGCATTATGTGAGCCTATATATTAATTTTGAAAACTTAAAGTTAAGGGGGGCGAAAACATATATACCTAATTAAAGTATGAAAATTTTATGAAAATATTATATATATAGTAGAAAAATTTGGAAGTCCAAGGGGGGCGGTCGCCCCCCCGCGCCCCCCCTTGGATCCGTCCCTGCTCGTTGTTGTACAAAACCTAAGACTTTACGAAAAGAAAAAAATGACATGTATATCACTATTAGAGTTTCCCCGGATAAAAATATGACAAATTATGTTTTTGGACAAAAATATGACTAGTCACTATAATATATTTTAGAATGACAAGTCACTGTAGATGACGAATCACAGTGAATTTGAACAAGTCCTACAAAAAAAGATGGTGAATCACATTAAACTAGTCACTAAATATGTCACTTTTTTCAAAAATTTAAAATAAGTCATATTTTTCTCTTTTGAATTTAATTTAGTAATAATATTCATGGAATAAGACCTACAAAAAATGCATTAGTCATATTATGTTTTAAGATGAAAAGAGAACGTAATTTAGTGGAAACCACGTCGTTGTAAAAGAACTGGTAACCCCTGAAATAGGTGGCATGAATAATGGTAAACGCTTAGTTGACAATTATGTTTTCACTTCTAACATTATTTAGCATGGAAAATATATATGTATATTAACATCATTTCCCTAAATTGAAATACTACTATTTGTGGCTTTGAAATTTGAATGAGATGTAAAATTACTATATTATAATGAGATGGCATTTTTTATAACATGAGATACTTGGAAACATGATTTCATCGTAATAAAAATTAACAACTTAATTGATCATATGTAGATTACCAACAACATGCACAAGTAATTAGATTTATGATAAAGTAGTAGGAACTAGGAACTACTCTAACTTGGGCCTTATAGGTCGAATATCACTTGGGCTCAAAGAGATCCATCTTATCTTAGTGTGTTTTAGTGTGCACATATACATTCAAATTATGTCTCTTATATATGTTTAATTTGATTAACAAACTTGTATACACAAAGATATTTCATTTATTATACACGTATAATATTAATAAATAATATTACTTGAGTAGATATAACTAACCTTTAGTTTGTGTGATAGGATAACTTTATTTATGTAATGCACGATTTCTTGTGGTGTTAAAAGAATATTTTTAGAAGTGCACCCTTGACCTAGTGACATAACGTTACCATGCATGGACTTATTGATCGGGTCATAGTTATAATAGATTTATACATGCACATTTTTCCTTAGACGCTAGAGGTTATCATTAATTAATATTGAAACAAATAAATAAAGTTAGGCTAAAAGTGCACATTACATGTAATATTAAGTATTATAAGAATAAAGCAAAATTTACAACTTACAAGTGGTAAAATAATATAATACTTTTTTATGTTATGGTGGTCTATAAATATCGGTCCACCCATTATTATTTTCCCCATAAATCCTTATTAAACATTTTCCCTACCTTTCAACCTTTCCATCCATCCCTTTGCTCTCTAAATAAATGGATAGCAAACCATGCATCTCCCAAGATGTTGAAATTAGGAAGGGGCCTTGGACTATGGAAGAAGACTTGATTCTCATAAATTATATTTCTAGTCATGGTGAAGGTGTTTGGAACTCTCTAGCTCGATCTGCTGGTACAATATAATATAATTAACATGATATTATATATAATTATACATATGTCCATATATATTTATTTAATTTCCCGATATTGCTTTTTATTGAAAAGGTTAATTATATATGTACACAATTTTCATGTATGTAGTAAATTAAACCTTCAATGAATGAAATACTACCTTTGTTCCTTTTAAGTTGAACCGTGATGAATTTTACATTATTCACATTTTCTACTTTGACTATATTTTATTTATTAACGAGTGAGAATTTATTTATTTTTGAAAAAAATGGTGAATTCATCTCACTACAAATTCGAAATCTGTTTTTTATTTTAATTTTTACTAATAAAGAATAAATACGAAATGAAGAAAGTATAATATAACAAAACTATTGATTAATTATTACTTTCCTTAGCTTGTTACTGATATGTTGGTAGGTCTGAAACGAACGGGGAAGAGTTGTCGGCTCCGGTGGCTGAACTACCTCCGACCAGACGTCCGGCGGGGAAATATAACGCCGGAAGAACAACTTTTGATTATGGAACTGCATGCAAAGTGGGGAAATAGGTGAGTGATCATTGAGCATGCATAATGTAACACTTGTAATAATTTTGAGCTATATAACATTTGAAGCACAACTTAAATTAAAAAATAAATAAATAAGAGGTGGAATTTTCTCATCCAAGAATTTGATTCGCCATACTACAAAGGAATATATTAAGAATAGAAAAAAGAATTAAATTCATAGCTTGTGGTTGAGAGATGATCTCCCCACCTGAAAGTTTGTTCATAGCTTGGAGCTAATATGCATGATTTTGTGATGATTGGTGATAAAGTGGCCTCTTCAAACCCACGTGAGGAAATCAACATATGGCTCACATGCATGCTAACATTTATACAATTCTTGATGTTTATTTTCACTAATTAGCTTTCTTCATGTGTATATCTTACTCTTTTATAAATTCTCTCAACAAATAATAATATTATTAATAATAAAAGTTTTAATTCAATATTGTCTAGTTTTATTTTTCAAATTCCATAATCTATTTCATAATCCATTCATTGAGTATAAACATTACATTCACTCGTTTATTGTACTGTAGCAAGTTTTTTTGAAATGATATGTTACAAAAGGGGGAAAATATATTTTGCATTCCATATTTACTTCTATTTGAATCTTTTTTTTTTCTTTGACTTTGATTTGTATTTAGGTGGGCGCAAAGTCAAATTTTAAGGTAACAATGGAGTGCACTTGGCTTACTAAGTTTTTGTTAGATTTAATTTCGTTATTTGTTATTTATTTCAATATTTGACTTTGTATTTCAGTTGGTGAGGTGTTAAATATCATAAATTTTAGGGGAATTTAATTTTCCATTCCATTATTTGGGAAATATTTGATTTGTATTTCATTTTCAAAAAATGATAATAATGTGTGCACCCTATTTTATTGTAAAATCATTTGACTTTTTACCTCATTCCTTCACAAATTTATGTCTAGTGTGAGGCATATATTAATTTTCTAAAAATGAGTGCAAATTCCAATATATTCCAAATAATGGGGAGCAAAGTCACCCCCCCTATATACATTTAATAAGAGTAATTTGGTCCTATAAAGAGAAAAAACGAACATGTGTACTCCTAAATACATAGTATGAATAGTTGTTCCTATAAAGAGCGTAAACTATACATTCCTATGTGTGCACTTTTTAGTTATTTTAATCCTAGATGAGACGATTTCATTAATTTAAATAAGGTGAACATTTAGGAGGATGCACATAGCTTTTTAAGTCATTTGAGAAATAAATAATTTGAGTTCATGGTACTGGAAAGCATATATAGTATATTTGTAATATTTATTTTGTACATGATGCAAGTTTGGAGTATCCAACTCACATTTCTATAAAATTTGGTAAACTTAAATTATTATTCCCAAATTAATGTATGATGTAAAAACTAATTTTCCTGAGAGACCCATGTTACAAATTGACTACTTTTAGTACTATCTAAGAAACTATTCACATGAATTGATCCTTACTCTAAATGAAAATTAGGTAATCTCAATCACCATTTTAAATTCAATATGATTAAGATATGACATACGGAGTATCTATTTTGTGTATCAAACCATAATTCACCACTAATAGAATCAAACCTACTAAGTAATGCAAATTATGTGTGTATGATTTTATGTATGTACATATGATTTTAGACTTTTAAAAGATAGTAAGTGATTTTCAATTTAAAATATATTTTGAAAAGTGTATTGACACCGACTTTACCAAAGATTTTAACAATTCAAATTTGGATAACTCGAATTATATCTTATTCGTGTAAACTCTACACTATAAATTGTATACATCAAAGTCTTTTTACCAAACATGATACGAGAAAGTTACTTTGATTTGATTAATAACTTGACAATGCATTGATTCATAAATGAACAAGTCTTGGACGTACTATATTTAATTAACGAATTTTTTATTATATTAGAACTAAATAAGTCATACATTTAGGGGGGAAAAATAAGATGCTTTGCTCTATTCGTACTAACTTTGCGATACAGATAATCACAATTCTCTTCAACTTTTCTTTTTAAGATGGTATACAAATTTCATTTCTTCCCTTGATTAGATAAACTCGATCATAAACTATATCAATATAATTTCCCTTACTTGATACTACGTATATGTGTTGAGCTAAAATGGGATTAAAGTTTGAAATGGATGGGAATTATGTGGATTGTGGAATTCAAATTAGGCTTCGGTTCAAAATCAACCTTGGTATTACAGTTATTGGACTTATACTTCATCCCCAACCAGGACAGGGGGTATGCTACACCATTAATATAGAACATTTAATTTAATTTGCTTTTATCAAACAGTGGACGAGAATATATGGAGACCGATTTACAATTATATTTTGTACGTAGTATTTCATATCAAGCTAACTTCGTATGACAAATTAAAGTAGGAACAACAAACCCTTAAGGGTGGTCAGATTGATCGAGTATGTTTTCTTTTGGACTGAAATTTGCTGTTATGGTCTAATCTGATCTGATCTAGTCTGAATTGGTCTGGTCTGGTATAATAAACGTCTACTCTCTATGTATTTTAAAACTACGGAAGTCTGGTCTGATCTGATCTGGTCTGGTCTGAGACTGAGAACAGTCCAAAAGAAAACATTGGCACGACAGGAAACTAGTGATTGAGAGGAGAGGTTAATACATAGCCAATAATTGTGGCCCAATATATTCTAGTAATATTCCAGTAATACATGTATACAATTGTCAATCTAAACACATGCCCCCAATTAAAATACATGTTATATACTAGCATAAATTTTCCTCTAATCTTATGCAACTCAAGTACTTTAAGCCAATTGCAACTTTCCTCCGTTAATAAACTTAAGCATCGTCAATATATTCACCGAACACAATTTCTAATTAACTACGTACTTTTATACGAAGTATTACTTGCCAATTTTTTTGTGAATAATTATGATATGAAAATTTAAATATTGTGATGTAAAACAAATAAATTGGAGTTTAATTTTGTTGTTGTTACTTCATACATATTTTGAAAAAATAGCTGAAATATATAAAAATATATTTTAACAATTAGATTTTAATTTAGCACTTAGATCTAGAAAGAAAAATGGACCTTAAATCTCTAGCAGTTGAGATTTCGTATATAACACAGTAGAAATTTTAGACTTCTGGAGGCCTTAAAAATTTCGACAAACATAGTAGAAAAACATAGTAGAAATTTCAAAAAGGCTACTCACAACCATGCCCCATCAATAAATTCAATTCCTAACTAATATATACAAAAGTTATGCATTTATCCGTGATTTTAGTTTTGCCTTGCAACCCACCACCATTTTAGATTGGGGTAATTTGAGTTTGCACCCCATATTATTGTTGAAATTGGACTTTGCACCCTGTTTTAAAAAATCTTTGTTTTTGCACCCCAACCCCGTATGAAAAGACAAAAATGTCCCTCGATCAGGAACATGTTGAAGGTCAACAAAATTGTTAATGGAAGGGGATTTTTGTAGTTTCATATGGTGTTGGGGTGCAAAAACAAATAATTTTAAAAATATGGTGCAAAGTCTAATTTCAACAATAATATGGGGTGCAAACTCAAATTACCCCTTTTAGATTTTTTGACAATGTTTTTCTACAAATCACCACAATTAAAAAGGTCATCATTCCTATGTAAAATAAATTAATTTGATGTTCAAATTTTGTTGTTGTTATTTTAGACATGTTTGAAAAGTAATTGAAGGATCTGTGAAAATATATTATAAGCATGAGATATTAATTTTAGCATTTGGATCTACCGATCTATTAAAGAAAAAAAACTTAAGCCTAAAACCCGGCCAAGTTGACTTCGGATCTTTGATATTTTTTTTAAGTTTATATATGCAATATTAAGAATTAATTCCACTTTTGGTCCTGCGAGTTTTATGTAATTTCCTCATTTAGTTCACGTCTTTCACTTTGTCCATTTTTTATACTTGACTAATGTTTCTTGACCATTTGTTGTCCTTCTTCGCCGATTTTGACCACCAAAATTATCGCCGGATGAACCATGTATGGGCGAATACACAATAGTCATGTACCAAAAATGATCAAAGTCAAATACGTGGACCAATTGTGGAATCAGTGCGATACTCCTAGGACCAAAAGTGGAATTTATTCGCAATATTAGAGTCATATGAAAAATTATAAAAAAATTATGAATATTGATATTTCTTTTGTAAAAATTGAAATCCAATCACAATACTATAATGGATTCATGCAACCAATATAGAATACCATGAGGGTACGTAGAATTTGTCTTTCTTGATTTTGTAATTCATCCTCATAACAACACAGTTTCTATATACTCTGTACTATACTAGAAAGTCAACCACAACATCAAGTGACATTATCGGGTTTTAAACACGACATTAGTTTTCAAGGTTGACAATAGATACTATGTAGTACTCCCTCCGTCCCCTTTTAAATGTCCCGACAGAGGGTGACACGAGTTTTAAGAAAAGTGTTTGTGTGGTTGATATTAATTGATAAAGTAAGAATAAAGTAAGAATAAAGTAAGAATGATTTTGAGCCACATAAACTTTACCAAATAAGTGTGAGACAATTAAATAGGGACATCCCAATATGATAAAACGGGGCATTTAAAAGGGGACGAAGGGAGTATTATTTAGAGAATAAAAATACAATACTTTTTTTGGAACTTCAAAAGATTTTTACCTTTTTTTGGAAGACAATTTTTTTTACTTTTATTTCGGGAATTTTGAGACGATAATAGGGATAGCTTCCTCTTAATCCCATTTAAGTTAACATATTTAGAAATTAAATTGAATTCTCTACTGAATTACAGAATATAGCTCATACGGGGTATATGATAAATAAAAAAAATAGGTGTGCGGTAGAATAATATGAGATGAAACCATGCATGTTTGACTATGAGTAATAAAATGGCAATCTTTTGAGGGATAGAGCAAGTTGTAAAATGGAATTGCAGCTTGATACGGTAGTCCATACCCCGCCCTTTTAATGTTAGGTGTGTAAATTGAATTTCAGCCACATGCCATACATCATATCTATTTTTGTTTAAGCCACCAAATATCTTTTCATTTCACATGTGTTACACATGTTTAACTTCCCATACCGGCACAAATATGAACTGATGAAGTTTTGAAATCTCAAAACTTAAAACAATACTCTCTACCTGTTGTGTTTATAACAATGAGTGAATTATCTAAATAAGACTGAAACATGAGTTAAACACACATGTAAACATAATATATATATTTTCTCTTTAATTTATAGGAGCAAATTAATCTTACTACCTTCGTCTCATTAACATTGTGACATGATAGTGTGACACGGTTATTAAGAAAAATGAGTTTATGTGGTTGATATTAAATTGATAAAGTAAGAATAAAGTAAAATTGATTTAGAATCACACAAACTTTACCAAATTTGGTAGGGGTGAGATCGGTCCGGTCCGGGTCGGGTTTTTGCTAAACCCGGAAATTACCCGTAAGGTCTCGGGTTATGAAAATTAGGGACCGAAAAAAAGCCCACTATATTCGGTCCGAGTCGGTTTTTTGTAGCCCGGGTTCGGTCCGGGTTCGGGTTGGGTCGGTTAAAGCCCGAATGTGAAATCATCTCATTTTTCTTTTATATTTTAAAATTTATGTTCAAATAAAATTAATCAAAAGTACAAACCGCAAATAATAACACAAATATTAGTCTCCAAAATCACCAAGAATTCAAATCCAAAGAAGACAGTCATCATGATATTTCATTTAAGATGCATAAAAATAAATAATATAGGTTTTCTTAAAATGCCACGAAATAAAATTTATGGATAAAAATGTGACTAAAGTTACTATAAATATGTTTTCATGGTCATTACGGTAAATAAATTGAATATATTTGTAGTAACTAATGTAGTAGTTATTAAGTCATTTTTTTCGTCCACCATGATTATAATCATATATTAGGAATTAATTATAAATTATATTGGTATATTATATTGATTTATATTAAAGTTAATTGTTTTTGGGTTTTTATCGGTCCGGGCCGGGTAATATATAGATTTTAGGGCCCGTTAAATAACCCGAAATTCTGGGTTCGGTCCGAGTTTTTTTTATTCGGGCCGGTCAAAAAGAAAAAACCCGGACCGCTATCATAATTCGGGCCAGGGTCGGTTTCCGGGTTTCAGTTCGGTTTTTCCCACCCCTAAAATTTGGTATGACACAATCTTAGTGAGATTTTCGTAAAAAGAAAAATGGGTCAATCTTAGTGAAAGAGATGGAGTATTACACACTATTTTCGGAACTCGGGCCTGTAATGCACATTGGATGATTTTTAATCTTATATACGAAGTATTTCCTCTGTTCATATTTAGTTACAATGCTTCCATTTTCAGGTGATTGAATGCATAACTTTGACCCTTGATATACTGCATTTAATTAATTACAAATAAAAATTAAAAAAATCAAATTTTGAAAATTTAAAATGCGAAAAATCTAATACACTAATAGATATACTCCGTAGTAATTTTCCAAAGTTAAATGTACGTAGTATTAGTGAATAAATGTACACATTACACAACATGTGGGTATGTAAGTAAGAAATGAAGTACATATACGAGTATATATGTAATGAATTTAATTTAATACTTCCTCCGTTCTTTTTTAGTTGCAACGCTCAACATTTTCACACTTGTCAACGCACGTCTTTGATCGTAATTATATCTTAATCTTTATTGGTAAAAATATTTAAAAATCAGATTTTAAAAATTTGTAATGAGATGAATTGGACAATATTTTTTTTAAAAATAATTTTATAAAATAATAGCGTAAAATGCAGTCAAAGTAGAACATGTGAATAGTGTAAAATTCTAACATGTTGCTATTAAAAAAACAGAGGATAATAAAAGAAAAGTAATAACGTATTTGGCGAAATTTAATGGACGGGTACATTAATTATTATTTGCATGAATAAATTCAAGGTGGTCGAAAATAGCGAAACACTTGCCGGGAAGAACAGATAATGAGATAAAGAATTTCTGGAGGACTAGGATCCAGAAGCACATGAAGCACCAGCAGGACGGCGCCGCCGAAGAAGACCAGTGTATGATGATGACGGAAGCCGGAGCGCCGCACCAACCGCCGCCGCAGCAAAGCTTCTCCTGCTACGACCACCAGCTGCGGCCGCAGAACAACAATGACGATACTGCATGTACAAGCCAAGCTTCTGCGGGTACCAGCAGCTGCTGCATGGAGTACTCCCCGATGTCCTACACCGCCGCCGCCGCCAGCTGCTGTAGCAGCATGGATGCCGCCGCCGCCACTGCCTTCCAGCACGGAACATTCCCCACCGAATCCAACGACAACATGTGGAGCATGGAAGACCTGTGGAACATGCAGCTCCTTAATGGAGATTAGTTAATTAATTTACTTCATTCGGATTATAATATTAATTGCATGAAGCATGGACATTGATCATAAAGTCATAAACCCTAGCTTAGCTTAGCTTACCTTAGCTTAGCTTAGCTAGCTAGCATATATAATCCGCCGTCCTATGTACGTACGCAGCTAGTGGAGAATCAGAAAAAGGACTCTGTCGAAACTTAACCTAATACGGAATAAAAAGGATGGATCGTTTTTAAAGAATACTCGAGTTAAATGTTTCATACTTAGTTTAGATAAATTGTAGTTATAGTGAGACTAATAGAGTTAAGATATGATGTGTGTGTGTCATAGACATTATAAACTTTAGGTGTATGATGAGTGAATTAGACACTATTTTTGAAAATTGAGAACAGGGGCGGCCCTAGGGACAGGGGCCCTAGGCCCAAAACATGAAAAAATAGCTAGGTCCAATTTTAGTTCATTATAATAGGTGTGACCATGTGAGTAGGCCGATTTCAACCCTTAACTAATAATTTTTCAGGTGAAATTGTTTGAGGTGCTTCCATGGAGATTTTTTTTATGAAAATTTATGTGCATGTTCTCTATAAAGTCTAGATTATGTCCATAAAAATTCAGTTGAAAATTCAGTTGGAAGCCACTTTAATAAGATATATTGAAAAACATTGTGTTTGTAAGCATATTTTGGCGCAATGTTTTTTAATAACTTATTTAACTAACTTCATGATTGAATTTAAGCTAACATTTTATCGATATAATGTACACTTGATGAAAAATATGCTCACAACATTTCAAAAAAGAAATTCACTTCGAAGCAGATTAATCTGATATGATTATTTGATTAGTTTATTAATTGATTTCATTCATAGTTAATTGTTTGATTTCTTAATTGTTGATTGTTTCATCTATTGAGTGTTTGTGTTACAATCTGTTGATCTTGTTTGACAGAAAAATTCAAATATAATTAAATTCATAAATTTAATTGATTTCAAAGTAATGAAAAGGATTGAATCTGGATATGATATACTACGTATAAAGAAAAAGATGAGAAGATTAGAGAAAGAGTGCTCGAGGATATGTAAAATAGGTTCAATGAAAAGGTTTATTTGCGTAAAGAAGTCAAATTCTTAATGTCCTACCTAAGATGAGAACTTAGAAAAGAAGAATGATTTAGCTACCAAAAATTAAATGATTCAGAATGACCACGTTATTATAGGGGAACTTAGGAGTTGATAATATTATTAGTTAGAGAGAAGAGAGTTTTACATTTTTTCTATAAATGTCTCGAAATATCAATTATTATTATTACTCCATATTTTTTTGAAAGGAGAAAGACAATAAGTTTATTAATCTAACTCATCATTCGCCAAAAGGCTTCCAATAAAATCAGACTTTGAATTAAAAAGATTATCACAATCTGCACATGAAACAGTCGCTCTAGCTAGTGCGTGAGCAACCCGGCCGATTCGCAGAGCGACCACAAACACTAATCGACAAGTAGTGCTCATTCACCCATTGGCCATAGCAGTTCTCTCACATCATCAAGAACTAAGTCGACGTATGACAAGCCCGGCTCACCTTGAATCCCAGAAACAACCATAGTTGCGTCTGTCTCCACAATCACCTTGTCCCAGCCATTCTTTTTAGCCCACAGAACTGCCTCTCGAACTCCACGAGCTTCAGTTGTATAATTTTTTTGTAAATTTAGGCTCATATTAATTATCTGCCCCTAGGACTTCAAACATACAAGACCAACCCTTATTAAAAATATAATCAATATTACGCATCAAAATTACTCGCAATATGTAAGCTAAGATATAAGCTAAAACATATGTAATATACTTTTCACACTGGAAATAAATTACGATAGTATTCATTATACGGAGTATAATTTATATTGATGCAAACTAAAATAAAATATACTTGCCCATTATTGGAGATATGATATGAGAATGATTAAGCATGCAACTAGTACATAGCTAGCACGGTATAGATTTTATTATGTGGGACAAATACCAAACTAAGAACACTTAATGCCGGCATGAGGAATTGTGGAAAGACACAATAGTAGCGTAGCGTTGCATATTTATGGAAAATTCAATTTTAGCTTTTTTTTATATTACACATCCCAAATCTATCGTAGCGTTGCATACTTGCATGTACGATGTTCGGCGTAAACCTAACTCTACAACTTTACTCCCAAAGGAAGTTTTCAATACATCTTCCTTAATTATCACACATCTTCCATGATATTAATAATCATTCCAGGATTTATGAAGATCAAGAAACTTTGCGGTAACCTTGATGACTCACTAAACATTGAAAAGATGTAGAGGAAGGACACTAATAAAGATGTTTTAATTTTACTTGGACTGTAATTTGCTGGTCTGGTCTAGTCTGATCTGGTCTGGTATGATCTGGTAATGTCTGGTCTCTTCGTATTATTATAACTATCCAAGTCTGATCTGGTCTGGTCTAATCTGGTCAGGTCTGGTCTGGGACAGATTAAACATCCTAAGATTCAAGAATCGAGACAGATGGTTTTTTATTTTTCTTTATTTTTTTGATTTACAAAAAGAAAGAAGCCACATGTAGATGGTGTTTTCTAATTTATAAAAAAAATTCATTTTTGAGATCAAACCATATTCTAAACTTTTGATACTTTTCACATTGGCCTGGATAGATTTGTCAATTTAACTACAATTTGATCACATGCAAAGGCGTAGCTAGGGGTCAACTTAGGCCCCGCTCCACCCCAAATTTAAAAGATGTCTACATTTTTATGGTAATTTTGTGTAAAGTTAATTTTTTCAAAAATATTATTTGTACTGGTTTATTCTTACCCAGTAGTCTGGCTCCGCCCCTGATCACATATGGTAGTACGGAGTATTATATATCCATGTATATATGTATTGTACAAAGTTTTGAAATTTATTAAGTGACCACACACCATTCCTAAAATTAAATATAGTGATAATTAAGTATGTAAACATGCTCCATTTAATAAGTTAGGATGTTTTCTTTTGGACTGAAATTTGCTAATCTGGTCTGGTTTGGTCTAGTCTGGTCTAATCTGGTCTGAACTGGTCTGGTCTGGTAAACGTATGGTCTCTGTGTATTTTATAACTACGGAAGTCAGGTCAGGTCAGGTCTGGTCTGATCTGATCTGGTCTGGGACTGAAAAGAGTCCAAAAGAAAACATCCTTAGTTGTCTTCACTGTTCGATCTTAAACCTAGCTAATGACCCAGGGATGGATTTGGGTGGGGGGGGGGGGGCGACCGCCCCCCTTGGACATTCAATTTTTTTACCATATATGTAATATTTTCATAAAACTTTCATAATTTAATTAGATTCGCCCCCTTAGCTTTTAATTTTCAAAATTAATATATATAGTCTTACATAATGTAATACTTAATTGGAGATTTAAAAGAAGAAACATCTAAAATAATTTACATAACTTAAACAAATAAACAATAGAGTAACTCGTTATTTAAGATTTAGGATACTTATTATATAAGAATTCCTAGTTTTGTAATGTTTAATTATCTTTATTAGATAACAAGTACTGGATTTCGTAAAACATATATCAAACAATATTAAATACCAAACACACTAATTACACAATTTTTAGATCATGTGAAATGAATCCAAAATATAAATATTTATAGACATTAGATTACATAATTCATTTACTTCGTGCTTTCTAAAAATAATTTATTGCATGGATAATAAACTCTAAATTATTATAGAATTAATAAAAATATTAAAATATAATATGCACCATATATGTGTGTGTGTATGTATGTGGTGCATATTATTCTAAAAATAACAATCTCATACATACTAGTATACTACTATTGTAATATTAAGAAAACTTCTCACGAGTCATGACTCACGAACACCCTCCTTGGTGGACAAAAATTACAATTCAATAACCGATTCATGAGGTTAAACAATGTAGAAGTTATTAAAAATGTATTGGTTGATGTCTTTGTCATCGTCTAAACTTAGAATGTAATAGATTTAAATGTCGTTCGGGATATGCATCTATTAATGTCATTTTTTGAATAAAAATAGCCGCATAGCCCTACAGTAGCGAAAAAATTTCGCCCTGCTATACTAGGGAAAAAAATTCACCCCCTACACTAACGAAAAATTCCGCCCCTCTTGACTCAGAATCCTGGATCCGTCCCTGTAATGACCCCAGTCCCCAGTTAGATAGATTGAACTGCCTGATAGGCTGATAGCTAGTAATTATAATAATGAGTTAAGTGGAAAGTGTGGCGTGGCAACGTAACATCGCATATGCTCAACTTAATTAGAATTGGTTAATTACTTTTAAGAAGGACAATGACTTCTGACCTTTGTGTTTCTAGCTTCTATGAGTTCTATGGATCCCGAGCCTCTGCCTTGCTTTAAAGCAAGGCAGGGTGCCTGGCTCTTCCGGGTCGTTCGATCGGGAATTGGACGGCCGAAGATGTTGGGCTCCACCACTTCGCCGATCTCGAGGTTGTCCTCGTCGCCTCCCTACCGTCGGATGCCGCAAGGCACTCTGCCTTATGGCAGAGGATCCTGATCCGAGTTCTATCACTATCGTGAGCATTCAAAATTTCTTTAAATTACGCCACTCATTCAATAAAAAAAGGATGACACCCCATCCCTGAGAATCCCCAACACCGACCGAACGACACGATGAGAGGATGTAAATTGGACTATAATCACAATCTGACAGATAGAGAGTGTGGCTTTGTCCCCTATATGTACTTGCAGAGGCCCTATGCATTTTTCAGCATAATAACCCCCCATCGCAGTTGCTAGGATTCGAATCCGAGACCTAACCCTTGTGGCACTCCCTCGCTACCAGTTGAGCTACGCCCACCGGTGCCACTCATTCAATCTTATGATCAAATGTTGTTAACCTTTGATATGAAATTATTTTAAATATGAAAATTATATGAAAATTTTATTTACTAAGTATTCTTTTATAAAAGTAGAAAAATTGTACATTATATATAAATATAATAACTAAAATAATTATCCAATTTTTTTTGTTTTGACTTTTGAGACGGCAGTGTTGCGTACAAATAGGCCACACGTTTTTCGTCACAAATATACAACATGTTTAAAACACATGAGAATAACAATACCCACGTGAATGATTAAAAATCACATGGTAGAGCTAGGTCGTCAAATACGATTATAACGTGAGACATATACTGCGTCTTATAAAGAAA